TCTCATATAAACAAATTATAGCAGCCTTACGTAAAGATAATTTGAAAATATCTTTGAAACAACATTTTATCGTTATTTAAAAAATAACATATTACGTCAAAAGAGATCCATTCAGGTATGTAAAAGTAAAGTAAAGTAACAGCCTACACATGTCCCACTGCTGGGAAAAGGCCTCCTCTATACAGAGGGTATCAGGGCATAGTCCACCACGCGGCCCCACTGCGGATTGGCAGACTTCACATATCTTCGAAATATTTTTTTTTGTTATTATTTCGAAAATATGCAGGTTTCCTCACGATGTTTTCCTTCACCGCGGAGCACGTGATCAGTCAGCACTTAAAGTTAAAAACTTCATTTGTGCCGGCACCGGGGATCGAACTCAGGTTGCCCGAGTATATTGAATTAATCGAATGCCCGGACACTGAGCTATCACGGCTCAGTTAATTCAGGTATGTACTCGAAACAAATACTAAACATTTTTTAAATTACACAGATACCAGCAGCCAACGTGCTACTCTTAAAATGTATTTTTTAACATTAATTCAATTGTTACGAACACTGCTAGACGGAATATATCATGATTAATTTTTAATATGCCCTTACTCCATTTAATTTTACCCTTAGTTTTAATCGTAGCGCACGCCATCTATTTTCGTTACGTAAAAACTCTAACACTGGCAAAAGCACCAGCTACACACGGAAGAAAAATAATCTAGTTCCTATTAAGTTCAACAGATGGCGCTGTAGCAAATTATACCAGATAAAAATGTAAAAGCCTTTGAAACCTACTGCAAAGATTAAATAAGTTGTTTAGGTAACGGAATTGTAATACGATAATGTGAAAAAAAGTAAAAGCAAGTATTAATTATGGAAAAGTAATTTATTTGAAAACGCAATGATAAAAATCAATCTTAAATAAGAGATTTTGTAAATTTTAAAATTTAACCTTATTATGAATAGATGGCGCTTTCTGTAGTTTTTATCCTTTTAAAATGTTTGAACGAAATCATTAATTTGAGCCTTTTGGTTATTTTTAGTTATAAAGGCAAACATTGTGTTAAAAACTCATTTAATTCTGATTAAGTAATTAAATAGCGAATTAGTAATTAAGTGGTGTATTTTTCAATGAAAATTTTAACATAAGAAGAAGAAGAAGAAGAAATATTTATTCGGCGCATTACATTACAGGAAAAAAAAAAAAAAAAAGAAATAACATTATAATTGTAAAAATGTATGCACCAAAAAGGTCTCCGCTCAGTATATTGCCCTGGCAAACAATACCACGGCACTGGTTTTCTGCGGATACCTTGTAAGATTGGCGTTCAGCTCCATGCATACAGCCAACAAAAATAACAATGAAATAGACTAAAAAAACAATAAAAAAGGAATATAAAAGTTAGGAACAATAAAATCAAAAATAAAGTATAACAAAAAAAAAAATTATTAACAAAAACTATAACATGTCCTCAACACAATACGAGTGCCTATATACCTATGAGAGCTGAGTTTTCTGGGTGCAACTTTATATATATATATAATATATTATAATATATGCAGACAGCGATCTGATCGGTTTTACTCCGTCTTTTGCAAATGAAGTAGAAACTTTTTGTATTTTGCTTTAAAGATATGTAAAGACGAAGAGTTTCTAATAGGTGGTGGGATGTTATTCCAACACTTTGTGGCGGAGTATCGAAAGCTTCCACGGAAAGCCGCAGTACTAAAAACAGGGCATATAAGACGGTCACAAAGTCGTGATTGGCGTTGTGTAAATTTTAACTTGCCATAGAGATATGATGGACTTTGTTTATTTATTACCCCGAAAATTAAGGAAGCAAAATGTAGTGCTCGTCTTGACCGCATATTCAACATGTCGCTTCGATTAAGGTATGGTGTGTTTAATGAGACCGGGCGTGGAATTGGAAAGCAAAAACGAGCACAGGAATTTTGAACTCGCTGAATATGTTTTTTGTATGCTCTAGTAAGCACCCAGCGATGACTGTATCTGCGTAATTTAATTTTGATAGTATTAGAGACTCGCAGAGATGAATCGCAAGTCTATATCCAGGAATTGACGTATTTGGTACAGCACTTTTAGCCTATAATAACATTGTTGGACTATATTTATAAACTGACTTTCAAATCTTATATGACTGTCAAGTAGTACACCTAAATTTCGAACTTCTTGAACTTGTTCAATTTTGTCATTTCTTACTTTTATCTGTGGTTTAAGAGCAGTTATTTGGTTTACTTGTGCTTTGGGTACCTAAAACAATAAACTTTGTCTTTGTAGGATTCAGAACAAGACTGTTAGCTTCCGACCACTCAGCTATTCGGTTAAGATCTTCGTTAATTTGAGTAACAGTTGTTCCTACTTCACTAGGCATCAAAGGCTTATAGATTTGTAGGTCATCAGCATATAAATGATGCTCACAATTCAAAATATATTTCGGTAGGTCAGCTGTATATAAAATAAAAAGGATTGGCCCGAGTATAGATCCTTGTGGAACTCCTCGATTTATTGGTGAAACACTTGAGTACTTTTTGGAACCGTCTATATGAGTGATTTCAACCTTTTGAGTACGGCCAGTCAAGTAACTTGAAAACCACTTAATTGCTACTTGATCAAATCCATAATAAACAAGTTTTGCTATGAGTAAGGACGTGTTGATTGTATCAAATGCACGTGAATAATCAAGTAGCACCAAAACTGTACCCTTTCCAACATCCTGTTCGGATAAAACATCATCAACTACGTGCAAAAGTGCTGTTGCGGTACTTCGTCCAGCTCGAAATCCCGATTGTTTTTCTGGTAAGATGTTATTAGAATGTAGGTAGTCAGTCATAACATTTCTTTCTCTCACGTCATGTTCTCGAAGAAAGTTATTTGTCCAAGACCACTGCATTTTTGACACATTTTTACACAACGTTCTCTAATCCCCAACTAAGAAATGCTTGTACTCTGGGTACTAAATAACGGATAAACATAACTTTCTTTCGTAAATAAATACATATTATACATATGTAAACACCCAGACACCATAAAAATACTATGTTCATCACACAATATTTTTCCAGTAGTGAGGATCGAACCCACACCCTCTGCCGCAGGAAGCATGTACACTAACCACTACGCATTTGGGTCGTCAAAATTAAAATTAGAGATGCGCGGAATATGATTTCAAACGAATAAAAATCTTTTAACTTCAATCTATAAAAGGTTAACACAGATCCTCTAAGTGTTTTCCATAGACCTCTTGTATGTTTACTTTTTGTTGAAGCAAGCGACGATTTTGTTACATCATTAACTAAAATTACTCTTTTACAAAAACTCGTTCATTTCGGCTACTGGTAAATTTAAGTTAACGTTGATTTTAAATAAGTCTTGATAAATAACTCTTATGTTTAATTTTGTATTGTTCGTTTAACACAAACTCCTAAAATGACTTAGGTAAGCGGACATTTGACGGGTAACCGTCAACCGTGGGGAAGAAAGGTTCTAGAGTGGCAGTCTCGAACTGGCAATCGCAGTGTGGGTCGACCCCCACTAGATGGAGTGACGACCTGTGCAAGTGTGCGGGAAGTCGATGGATGCAGGTGGCTCAGGATCGTACTTCGTGGCAGTCTGTGGGGGAGGCCTATGTTCAGCAGTGGACTCAAACAGGCTGAAATGATGACGATGAGGAAGCGGACATTATAATATCATATAAAAGATGTTCATAATTTATACATGATATGATAATGTTTTTTTATTAACTCGCTTCCTTGTTTGTCTGTCCGGGTGGAATTTTGTAATTGATTTTAAACTAACTTCTCGGTTAGCTTTGGAAATTTGGAACTTAGCTCAGAAGTGGGTGACAATTCAGGAAGAAAGGAGAATAATAATAAAATAAAAATATATGACTAAGAAATATAAAACTTGTATTAAATATAATCCGAATTTAAAGTTGGGGAAATGGGGTAAACGACTTAACTGTTATCTCTTATCTTATCCTTTAATGGAGCAAATCTTGTATATATATATATATATATAATCGGAATCTCGGAAACGGCTCCAGCGATTTTCATGAAATTTAGTATGTGCATAGATTCGGGGGCTAAAAATCGATCTAGCTAGGTTTCATTTTTAGAAAATGTCCTTTTATCCCTGTTTTCAGGGAATGAAAAATATAATTCGAATATGACAGTAAATTTCGCCGCAAGAGAAAATGTCAAAATAGCTCGGTCGGTAATCGGGCGACCCCAAAACAGACGGCCGTGGTTCGCGTCACGATCATTTACACATTTATTTTTTTACTTCTTTTCGATTCCAGACCATTGCTTTCTTTATTTTTAATTTTTTGTCGATTTGTTATTTTGTTATTTTTTTCCCTTTTTTTTTAAAGTTCTTTCCTTTGTGAAAAACATCAGTTCATATTTTCTTATTATTACGTCGGCAAGATCGAAAAATATTATGCATATTTCATTACTCAGTAATTTGTATCTAAATGGAAATTACCAAAATACACGATTTACCAAAAAAAAAAAACAAACCGAGCAAAGCTCGGTCCTCCGGGTACTTATATATAATCTGAATTAAAAGTTGGGGAAATGGGGTAAAGGACTTCGTGCGAATCTGACTCGCACTTGGCCGGGTTTTAACGGTTATTTGATAGTATATTAAATTCCACTCGAAAGAGCTTACAGCGCTCAATCACGAAAACAACAAATTTACAATGACATTAAGTAAATAAGAATTAATGATTTACGAGAACATAAGACTCGAGAACAACTAATTTTGTGGAAACAAAAAGTTTCCTAATCGCAACGCCGAAGTAAACACCATTGTTTCGCAGTTACGTGAAGGTATTGTTCCCTCTCCAGTTTTCCAGTTCATTCAGATTATCTTCAGACCCGGCCTGCCACAGGGGAGTTACCACGCTACCGATTTCTTACGCAAGTCTACCTCGAATTAGAAATTACATAACATCTTCAAGATCGGGAACGCCCGCCGCTGCGCTATGTTCTTCACAACGATCATAATTGTACCGTTATTTGCAATTGGAGGTGGGCACACTCCGACGAACGGGTCGGACGTGCTAGTGACGTATACGGGACACAGCGAGGCCGGTTCTCCGGTCCGTCCCGAGCTGGAAACACCAGAAGCCAGCGTCCGCGATGTCGGTGATGCCGCTCGCAAGGTCCACGACAGCGGTGGTGTAACAGGTGCAGCTGACGAGGTCATTTTCATTCCGAACGAGAAGCCTGTCGTGAGGAATGAAGACTTGCGAAACGAGGAAGCTGCGAGGGATGTGCTTACGAGGAATCAGTTGCCTGATAATGTGAACGTCGGCACTGGTGAGTGTGAATCGGCTATACGCTACTAATGTCATGATGTAAGTTAATTTTTAGGGTTCCGTACCCAAAGGGTACATCGGGAGCTTATTACTAAGACTCCGCTGTCTGTCTGTCACCAGGCTGTATCTCATGAACCGTGATAGTTAGATAGTTGAAGTGATAAATGATGTATTTCTGTTGCCGCTATAACAACAAATAGTAAACAGAATAAAAAATATTTAAGTGGGGCTCCCACACAATAGACATGTTTTATTTGCCGTTTATATAGATGATGGTAAGGAATCCTTCGTCTATGTTCTACTCTAATTCTAGTGAAACTTCTTTAATCTTGCCATGGGAGAAAAGACAATTTACGTTACGATTTTTGTCAAACGGTTACTTGCTCGTTACGTTACAATAAATAAATTTACAATTTAAACTTTTTAAATAGTTTACCCCTTTTGTATACACTTAAGTATTTACTTTTTTTACTTTAATCTTTAATGGATGTTAAAAGCTTAAGGAGGCATTAAATAATTTTAGTTATCTTACCTCAAATCGTGAAATGACTAGATCGGCTATAGTACTAAGTATATGTTTTATGTATGTATATATATATATATATATTTTGTTTTTTTTTCTGTTTTAAAAAACACTGCCCTTACTTTAGGATAATATTATCCTGTGTTGTAAAGGACGTTTTACAAACATAAATTTCACGCGGACAAACACCCAGATGCGAAACAACTATCTGTGCGTCACACTGCGTCCCGTGTGGGAATCGAACCCACGACCCCCAACGCCGAAGCCAATAACTTGGCAACTGCGCCACGGAGTCATCAAAATATGTATATAATAGTAACTACTAAGCCACGTAAATGAGTTGAGCTGCTTCTAGAGTTGCTGAGTAGTTAATTAAGCCACATAAATGAGTGGTATTTATATCGATGAGACGGATATATGGGATGTACTTTACTTTTGTTAATAAATCAATATTTTTTCGACTCTGCAGAGTCACCGAACCAAGACGTAGTTTTCATATCCGGCAAGAACCACGGCAGCGAGGAAAAGCCCGACAAGAGGAGAACAGAGAAGCGGAAGAAAGAGAAAGTAGCAGAAGAAGAGGACAAGGGCCCCACTGCGGTGAAACTCGACTGTTCCAATCTAGACTGCGAGGTCGCGCAAGTGCCGGTCTGCGGGGGCAAGTTGGAGCGAAAAAGATGGACGTATCGTCTGTTTCTTAACGAGTGCTTCTTCAGGAAGGTCAACTGCGCGTTCAGGAATCGTGGCAATAGTGAGTAACGTATGTTGTAACTAGTGAAGCTGTCTCCAAAGTCCCATGCAGTTGCCGTCTCTAACATAAAGCGGCCAAGTGCTAGTTGGACTTGCGAACAAAGGGTTCCCTACCATTTAAAAAAAAGGCAAAAAAATCATGTTTGTTGTATGGGAGCCCAACTTGAATATTTTTTATTCTGTTTCTTAGTATCTGTGAAAATTTCAACTGTCTAACTGTCACGGTTCATGACATACAGCCCGGTGACACACGGACAGACAGACAGATAACGAAGTCTTAGTAGTAGGTTTACCCTTTGGGTACGGAACCCTAAAAATTACCGCTCAATATAACAACCGGATATTCCAAAGGCCGAACGACAACTTTGTTCGCAAATTCACAACCATGTAGAGAGGAAACGAGATAGAATGAAATTTGAACAGTGGCCCCTCAAAGACAGGGAGAAAGAATGAATGAGAGTTGAATGGCCTTCTCCTTACGTGACGATCTACTCAACACTTAACAACTTCGCCCCAGAAATCAGTGCAACAATGTTACTGTTACAGCTAAAATTATTATAGCTCATTATGTATATATAAATCATGTTAAACATGAATAGAATAATTGCAAACATATGAAATATAAGAATTTAAAGATTGATAGCGCCAAACGTTGCTTAAAAATGTAATAAAAACAAAGTAGACAAAATACCTTAAGATATACGTCGATGTAAAGATAAGCCGTATAGTTCAGTGGCAGAGGGTCAAGTGCTAATCCCGAAGCGGTTGGCGCTTTGACCACCTGTATGAGGTCATCACAACATGTAATTCGTGTTATAAGTGGTTTAGGCTAGGCTTTTCAGAACCGGCCTGCCTGACGTCAACCTTTCTTGGGAACCAGCACACAGATCTGGAGCAATTATCTGTGGGTCAAACAAATACTTGCTCCACGTGAGAAACGATTTGTGGTTTAGGCTAGGTTTTTCACGACTAGCCGACTGCCTGACTTCAACCCCTTTGGGAACAAACACCCAGATGAGGAACAATTATCTATGGGTCACACAAATACATTTCCCATGTGAGAATCGACTTATGGCTTAGGCTAGGTTTTTCACGACCGACCGGGAAACAAATCCCCAGATGAGGAACAATTATGTGTGGCTCCCACAAACACTTGTCCCGTGTGGAAATCGAACCCACAACCCCCGACGCTGAAGTTTAGCAACTGCGCAAGCAAGTCATCTACAGTATGAAAACGAATGAAACATCCGTTGTACAGGATACAAACAAGTCCCGATAGATAAATGTGCGGGCACAGCTGCTGTGTTCTCCGAGAGGCCTGTCTTTAAGCTCGCTCCACTGAAGATCACACCACGGCCGCAGTTAAAGCAAAACGACACGAGACGGAGCATTTCATCCCGGCGGTAGGTTGATAATAGTTGTGAACAGGGTCTGTACAAAACTATTTCTCATTAAGTAACAATAACGTGACGGTGATAGGGCCACGCAGCAGCCTCGGCTGTTGCACAAATGGGCATGCTCGTCCGGGTAAGTACCACGACCTCACAGAAGACCGGCGTAAAGTAGAAGTATTACACTTCTGCGTTTCGTCTGGTGAGAGGTAGCCGGGGCCCACTTAATTTAAAGGTGGCAACGCACTTGCAACCCTACCGGCGTTGCAAAGATACATGGGCGGCGATTATCAGTTACCATAAGGTGAATCCAACAAAGTCATTTCAAAACGTTTACAAATTTTTATCACATTTTTGAAACGGTTGGAATAAATCAATAGAGATCAAAAGCATTTACATTAGATACAATTTTCATTTTGGGTATAACGTTAATTTTCCATTGCTAAAGCTATTATATCACGACTGACAGGACCAAATACAAAATATTTCGATCGCGTGGTGGACTATGACCAGGATGTCAGTTATGTTACTTTTACTTTCTTCTTATAATCGGTTCCCTACATCAGGGTGCTGTTGACCAGTTTCCTGAGTGGTAGCAACCGTAGATTATTCACTTATATATTGAGATAGCAATAGCAACCGTTGTCTTCACATTAGGGGCGTGAAGACAAACTTTACGTCATTTCTTCATATTCCTCTAAACAGAGAATTTGCGCCTTTATAAGGCGCAAATTCGGCCCCACATGGAGTACTGCTCTCACCTCTGGGCGGGAGCCCCCTGTTACCAGCTTCTTCCATTTGACCGCATCCAACGTAGGGCAGCTAGGGTTATCGACGATCAAGGTCTTTCCGATCAGCTTGATCCTTTGGCTTTGCGTAGAGATGTTGGGTCACTCTGCATCTTCTACCGCATCTATCACGGGGAGTGTTCCGAGGAATTGTTTGGATTGATCCCAGCGGCTGAATTTCACCATCGGACATCGCGCCAAAACCAAAAATTTCATCCACACCACCTCGATGTCCAGCGTTCCACAACAGCGCGATTTTCAAGGCATTTCCTGCCTCGCACAACCACTCTGTGGAACCAGCTGCCGCCGGCGGTCTTTCCGAACCGTTACGACCTGGGAACCTTCAAGAAGAGAGCGTACTCATTCCTAAAAGGCCGGCAACGCATTTGTAAGCCCTCGGGTGTTGCAGATGTCCATGGGCGGCGGTGATCACTTACCATCAGGTGAGCCTCCTGCTCGTTTGCTGCTTTTTTCCCATAAAAAAAAAAAAAAAAAAAAAAAGAGACCAGCGTAAATTGGAAGTATGACAAATACTTTCGCGTTTCGTCTGGTGAGTGAGGTAGCTGGAGCCCAATTTTCAAAAGGTTATCAACGCATCTGTAACCCTCGGTAACAGATGTCCATGGGCGGCGGTATTCACTTACCATGAAAGTTTACGTCATTTTTCATATTCCATAATCACTAAACATACTTTGTATAGAGGAGGTCCTTGCCATATATACACGCTGTTATCTACTTTAACTGTCTTATTATACCCAGGTCCTTGCATCAGGGTGCTAACGGACAATGCATTAATCGATTGTCACCGTTGTCGCCCCAGTTGGGGGCGGAATGTGGAAGCTTTCATTCTTCATGTTCCATAATAACTAAACATACTCTGTGTCGAGGAGGGCCTTTGCCAATATATACAGGGTGTTATTTACTTTAGTTTAACTTTTTTATTATATGTAGATCACTGCATCTGGGTGAAAATGCTCAGTGTACTGGTAGTAGAAACAGATGTCATCCCATGTAAGAGCAGGAAGTGGAATCTGAATTCCTTCTTCCGCGTCTGCTATGAACTACCATTGTACTGTACGATCGTCACCGTTTTCGCCCCTCTGGGGGCGGGAAGCGGAGATTTACCTCATCCTTAATATTTAAATTGTTTATAGTGCTAATCTTTGCACTTAAGATTGAACATTAAAATATGTAGAAAAAGTGCGAAAAGATTGTCTGTATGCTGGAAAGGATATAACAATAAATGGCGCCAAGCATTGCTTCAAATGCTAAGAAAACAATGTAGAGGAATGCGTTAGGATTTTCGTCGGTGTGGTAATCAGCCGTTTAGCTCAGTGGCTAGAGCGTCAGGCCGCGAATGCCGAAGACGTGGGTTCGATTCCCACAGCGGCGACAATCTTTTCGTACTTTTTCTACATGTTTTAACATCTTTAATATTCCATAGGTGCTTTGTATGGTGGAGGCATTTTTCATAAGCAGGCTGTTATTTCAGCTTACTTTTACTTTCTTCTCATATCCTGACCTTTGCATCAGGGTGCTAACGATTGGTGCATTGAACGAGCGACACCGTTCTCGCCCCTTGGGGGGCGGGGAGCGGAGATTCACCTCATTCTTCACATCCCCAGATCTCTGAACATGGGCCCCAACGGCCAGTTCTGCTCGCATCCGTGCCCCGTCAGCTGCACCGAAGAGTACGACCCGCAGTGCGCCGTCTCCGCAACGGGCCAGAAGCGCGTCTTCCTCAACCACTGCAAGCTTGACCACAACTCTTGCTTATACAGAGCAGGTTGGTCAAATAACACTTTTATTGAATGAGAAGGTGGCATACGATCGCTTAAGATCATAGTTCACCCATGGTTGTTACTGATGATAACCCATGGATATTTGCAACACCCGTAGGGTTGCAGATGCGTTGCCACCTTTTAATATAGTGGGCCTATTTTATTGTGGACGTGATTTTTTGTGGAAACTTTTTAAGGCACTTTGAACACTTTTAGAGTGGAGCAGGAGAAGAAGTCGCGTGACCGTTGCTTAACTTCAGTTCCCGATCGATCACCGAAGTTAAGCAACGTTGAGCGCGGTCAGTTCTTAGATGGGTGACCGCCTGGGTTCGCTTTTTGTTTCGGATTTTTGAGTGAAAACTTGAAAGTGGATGAAAATAATATTCTTGTATCAAATTTGAAGTGGAAGTTTGATGACTCCGTGGCGCAGTTGCCAAGTTATTGGCTTCTGCGCCGGAGATCATGGGTTCGATTCCCACACGTATGTAAAACGTCCTTACAACACGGTATTATATATACCAACACAGTATATTATCCTCCAGTAAGGGCTTTGTTTTATCAAAACTAAAAAAAGTCTTATACTTCTGCGCTTCATCTGGTGAGAAAGGTAGCCGGAGCCCACTTTATTAAGGTGGCAACTCACCCGCTACGCTACGGTGGTTACAAATTTCCACAGGCGGTGTATATCACTTAACATCATGAAGCAGCCTGCTTGCTTAACACCTCACATATATAACTACTGTAGTTGCCAATTTTACAATATCCTAATCTGCCATAAAGACTAATTGTCCTAACCTCATCACGTTGTAAAAGCAGTGCTAATGCAGTCACAGGGACCAATGATATTATACAAAGATATGACACTCGCGCACCGAAATTTACACCAATTGGTGTAATTAGATTGCAATTCTATACACTGCTATCTCTTTCCATATCGTACGCTCTATATTATCTGTCTCATTCACTTATATATGTCATATAATTTTAAGCGGAGCAATTTTTAAACGCCGCGCAATAGAGACATGCTTCAACTGTATTACTAAACATCATTGACACAGACTTTAAAATCTTTACCTATAACTATTACTATTAACTAAAATATTAAAGCAGTCTGTGACATTTAAGCATAAATTAGCCTGAAGGTGGTAGATTTTTTTTGACGTTCTAATAAGAGCTTAAGTTAGGCCTATATTGAATAAATATACTTTGACTTGACTTGACTTGACTTGAATAATTCACAAATGAAAGAATGAGATGCGACGAAATTTCGAGTTAAAAAAAACCTCGAAGAAACTTAGCTGAGTTTAGATTAGCAATTCATTTGACTTTGAATATCTTATCTAGAGAGCAAAGATACAATACGCTTCAGGCTTAGCGGAGAATGGAAGAATATGGGGACTTTTAATTATTTTCATTTTGCCTTAATACAATAAGTATAAGTGCAGTTGTGTGGTGCCGGCGTAAGAATAGGCCACCCCATCTCATCCCGTGGGTGTCGTAAGAGGCGACTAAGGGACAAGCCACAAACATCTGGTGGCCACCGATAGATGGCGGGATAACCATCTCGACTCTCCAGACCCTAAATAGCCAGGCCAATAACGGGCAGCAGCGTTATAGGTGCAAGGAGTCTGGAGGAACTGCGGTTGCCAACCCGCTTGCCAGGCGTGGCAACTATGGCAAAACCCCCCTACATGACAGAAGTCCAAAATGTGCGGCCCCCAGTCCCCGGCAGCCCTGCTATTCCTGGCTACGGTAGCGGTCATGGTAACGGCAGGGCAGGGGGTGCTAAGAATCCCCGGCTAGGATTCGGCTACCAACGACGGCGACTGGACCTGGCAACATACAACGCAAGAACATTGAGGACTGACGAGAAGATTACAGAGCTGGAAGAAGAGGTGAACAGGCTGCGCTGGGATATAATAGGATTATCTGAAGTCCGAAGACAGGGGGGAGGACACGATAATCCTCGAATCCGGCAACCTGTTTTACCACCGGGAGGGCGACCAACTGTCCCAAGGAGGTGTCGGATTTATCGTCCACAAGTCTCTCATTAACAACGTTGTTAAAATCGAGAGTGTGTCCTCAAGGGTTGCGTACTTTATACTCAGAATATCCAATCGGTATTCGCTGAAGGTCATACAGGTTTACGCACCAACGTCGACACATCCCGATGATGAGGTGGAGGCAATGTATAAGGATATATCACGAGCCATACATTCCTCCAAAACTCAGTACATGGTGTTAATGGGAGACTTCAACGCAAAACTAGGCAAAAGGAAAGACGATGAGCTGAGAGTAGGTAGTTTTGGAATAGGGCAACGGAACCCAAGGGGGCAGCAGCTGGCTGACTTTATGGAGAAGGAGGGACTCTTTATGATGAACTCCTTCTTCAAAAAGCAGCCCCACAGAAAGTGGACTTGGATTAGCCCCGATGGTTCCGTAAAAAACGAGATAGACTTCATTATGACGAACAAACGGCAAATATTCAATGATGTCTCTGTGATCACAAGGGTGAAGACCGGCAGTGATCACCGATTGGTGAGAGGCACATTGAATATTAACATCAGGCTGGAAAGATCTCGTCTAATGAAGTCCACACTCCGACCATCTCGTGCCCATATCCAGAACTCCGAAAGCTTTCAGCTCGAGCTACATAATCGCTTCCAATGCCTAGAAAATTGCAGCACTGTGGACGATATTAACGCTAAGCTCGTGGAAACTGTCCATGCCGTGGGCCTTAAATTTAATAAGGCCCGCCGCACAAATAGAACGCAAAAACTCTCCGATCACACTCTTAGCCTCTTGGGAAAAAGACGTGAGATGCGGCTGCAGTCTTCAACTGACATGTCAGACTACAGGCGGCTTAATAGGCAGATCTCCAAATACATGCGGCGAGACTTACGCAACTTCAATACAGCTCGTATTGAGGGTGCTATAGAGCGGAACCTAGGCTCAAAAGTCTTCGCCAGAGATCTGTCTATCGGACAAAGCCAACTGACTAAGTTGAAGACTGACAGCGGGGCTATCATCTCCAGTAGACCAGAGGTTTTGAGTGAGATTGAGAGGTTCTATGGACAGCTGTACACATCGTCGTTGGAGCCACACACATATGTGAGTAACGACCCAAGAGCAAAGCTTATCCGACACTATTCCGAAAATATCCCGGACGTTAGTCTGAGCGAGATTAGAATGGCTCTTAACCATCTTAAGAATGGCAAAGCACCGGGAGAGGACGGAATTACAGCAGAGCTTCTGAAAGCGGGTGGAGTACCGGTACTTGTAGTCCTTCAGAGGCTCTTTAATTCCGTCCTTCAGGGTGGCACTACACCAGAGGCGTGGAGCAGAAGTGTGGTGGTGCTGTTCTTCAAGAAAGGCGATAACGCTCTCTTGAAGAACTATAGACCGATATCCCTTCTGAGCCCCGTCTATGTGCTGTTCTCAAGAGTCATCTTGAATCGTCTCGCTTCCAGACTCGACGACTTCCAGCCTCCCGAACAAGCCGGATTCCGAAAAGGCTTCAGTACCATAGACCACATACACACCTTGCGGCAGATTATACAGAAGACCGAAGAGTATAATCTGCCCTTATGCCTAGCGTATGTGGACTATGAGAAAGCCTTCGATTCTGTCGAAATGTGGGCGGTACTTCAGGCTCTTCAGCGGTGCCAAATTGACTGTCGGTATATCGAAGTGCTGAGGTGTTTGTATAGCAAGGCTACGATGTCCGTCCAAGTACAGTCCAGTAGTACAAAACCTATCCAACTGCAGAAGGGTGTAAGACAGGGTGATGTCATATCCCCGAAACTCTTCACCGCTGCGTTGGAAGATGTTTTCAAGCTTCTGGACTGGAAAGGACGAGGTATTAACATCAATGGCGAATACATCACCCACCTTCGATTTGCCGACGATATAGTCATCATGGAAGAATCGCTGGAGGACCTGTGTGCTATGCTCAATGACCTCAACAGTGTCTCCCAACGGGTGGGCCTTAAGATGAACATGGACAAGACGAAGATCATGTCTAATGTCCATGTCACGCCTATACCGGTTGTTGTTGGGAGCACTGAGCTCGAAGTTGTTGACGAGTATGTTTACCTAGGACAGTTAGTCCGGCTAGGTAAGTCCAACTTCGACGCAGAGGTCAATCGGCGAATCCAACTCGGATGGGCAGCGTTCGGGAAACTTCGGCAAATCTTCTCGTCGAATATACCTCAATGTTTGAAGACTAAAGTCTTCAATCAATGTGAGTTGCCAGTGATGACCTACGGAACCGAGACATGGTCCTTCACTGCTGGCCGTATGAGGAAGCTCAAAGTCGCTCAGCGAGCTATGGAGCGGGCTATGCTCGGTATTTCTCTGCGTGATAGAGTTCGTAACGAAGACATCCCCAGTAGAACTAAGATAACCGATATAGCTCAGAGGATTAGCAAGCTGAAGTGGCGATGGGCCGGCCATATAGCTCGTAGAACCGATAACCGTTGGGGAAGAAAGGTTCTCGAGTGGCAGCCTCGTACTGGCCATCGCAGTGTAGGACGACCCCCCACTAGATGGAGTGACGACCTGTGCAAATGTGCGGGAAGTCGATGGATGCAGGTGGCTCAGGATCGTACTTCATGGCAGTGTATGGGGGAGGCCTATGTTCAGCAGTGGACTCGGACGGGCTGAAATGATGATGAATGATGATGATGAAGTGCAGTTTGTCTAGGTTTACGACCTAAGTTAATCAGTTCATATTGTAATGGCCTGATTTAATGAGCAATCATTTTTAAGGTAAATTCTTTCTCCTGCCCGTTTCCTTTTACCGTGTTGACTCAGGATCTCTATTTATCTCTATTATACACCTAATAAGGACTATAGACCTCAATATCTGGTATAAATTTCAACTTGCTAGGTCCACCCGTTTCTGAAAAATCGGTGCTAACACACGGACAGGCAGACGGGCAAGAGAATTATCTTATAAGGGTTTATTTTTTACCTTTTAAGGTGCGGAACCCTAAAAAGAAGTACAGTTTGTCTTGCCGTACAATGTGCAAATACAAGCAAGCCACGTACGGACAATGCTAATATACAGGGAGGCTTTTCTAAGTGTATCCATTTTTTTATTTAATTCTAGACATAAATAAAGTTATATGAAAATGATAAATCTAAAAAAATCACATTTATTATTATTATTATTATTTAAAATCACTCGTAATTAATTAATTACATTCATTTAAACTTATCTCAGGAAGTGCGTGATTTATGGGCAACTCATTTATTATACGCGCGATCATTCATTACTAACACGCACACAAGTTCGTTTCAAAAGTATACGACGCATTTATGAATGCCTACCGCATTGTCAACAAGTTTTTTGAAAAAAAAAAAAGTTCGTTTGTATTTCAATGAAAGTTTATATTCTACCGAGTCTTACCTTCTGTGTGAATTTGGACACCTTTATAAAATACCATGTTTGCAGTGTGGCACCGACGACCACTGTCTTGGTGTGTTGGCGGCAAGATGGCTGACATACAGCAGAACAGGGGTTTCATCGCGTGGATGCAGAGGAACGGAGTTGTGGACAGGAAGGGGAGACTGGCTCTTCCTTGAACTTAGCCACATTTGTCTGTCACGCTATTTTAGTTCATTGTTTAATTTACTACCTTTCTAATTTTAATTACTAATTTAATTTAATTACAATTTTTAATTTAAAATTTTAGTTTACTAATTTTCTCCTGCACTTATCCCAAACTAGGTGTGGTCGGCACAACGTGTCCTTTCCTTCCATTTTCATCTATCAGCCTAAATTCCAATACTGACCACTTTTACAGACATATCATTCTTTACACAGTCCATCCGAATGTTTCTCGGTAGCTTTGCACCCTCCAAACACATTTATCACTCTTCTAGTCTATGAAAGTCATGTACTTTCATCACTTCTCATAATATGCCTATACCAAGTCAACCTACCACTCTTATTTTATCAGTCACTGGCGCCACTTTCAAGCTTTCACTTATATACTTATTTGGTATCTTATCCTTTCGTTGACACGACGCATGCATCTTAACATTCGCATCTCTGCCTACATTTTTATTTCATTCGTCTCTTTGCTGCTCAACTTTCAGATCCATAACATCATGACAGGCCTCACTGCCATCTTGAAAATCTTCCCTTTGAGTTTCAGTGCCATTCGCGGATCCCTGGTGTCGGCACCAATGAAAATGTTAATTTTAAGTGACTTATCACGTACTCAGCGATCCACCGCTGGGTTCCCGCGGGCGAGGAACCCGGCGTATTTTCGAAATAATAACAAAAATAAAATATTTTCGAAGATATGTGAAGTCCGCCAATCCGTAGTGGGACCGACCGGTGGACTAAGCCCTAATACCCTTCCTACGGAGGAGGCCTTTGCCCAGCTGTGGGATATGTTAGGCTTTAACTGTAACTGTAAGTTCCAATCCAGCCTGCACAGCGAAATTGTTTATTGTAATTTCGTGTGGGCGTGTTTGTGTGAGTGCGATAAATTAAAAATATAACAGTTATACTCGTATTAACTATGAAAATTTGTATCAAGTTTGAATTAATCCCGAATTTTGAGTTTCGTTTAGAGCACAAAGTTAATAATACTAATAATACTTAGATTTAAGCCATGCCGTTTTCGCTCAAATGCTATTCCCGTAAAAAAACAGGCGGCATTTAAAATTTATTCTCCATAAATATTCATACCATCGTTACACGCGGTCTGTTATCTTGGAATGAATTTAGGAAGAACAAGACGTCTTTAAGCTTCTTTTATCTCCACTCGCTAACCAAACAGTGAACTGAATAACCAACGGTCTTATGCTATGTGTTTTTCATACAATTAACATATATTTCTTGGCATATTTATGGCTACAATTTTATAGAAATTTCACGGTGGTAGGGCCACGCAGCAGCCTCGGCCGTCGCACGAATGGGCAGGCTCGTCCGAGTAAATACCACGACCTCAGAAGACCACAGAAGCCCCGCGTAAAGTGAAAGTGTAATACTTTCGCGTTTCGTCTGGTGAGTGAGGTTGCCGGAGCCCAATTTTCAAAACATCTAGAACCCTAGGGTTTAGCAGATGTCCATGGGCGGCGGTATTCACTTAGCATCAGGTGAACCGTCTGCTCGTTTGGCAACTTCTCACATAAAAAAAATGTATGAGGTCTTCCATTGTGCGCGCAGCAAGGTAAACTTACTGAATAGATTTCAATTAATTCATTAAGTTTAATTTCGAAGATACTTGGCCCTTATCTAGAAAAAAACGGCCAAGTGCGAGTCGAACTCGCGCACGAAGGGCTCCGTACCATTATAATATTTATAAAAACGGCAAAAAAAATCATGTCTGTTGTATGGGAGCCCCACTTCAATATTTATTTATATCGTTAAAGCGAAAACAGAAATACATCATTTGCTTTGAATTGTCTATCACGGTCCATGAGGTACAGCCTGGTGACAGATGGACAAACAGACAGACAGGTCTTAGTAATAGGGTTCCCGTTTTACCCTTTGGGTACGGAACCCTTAAAAGTTATGTTATATCCTCATTTAATTTAAAACCAAGGAGCAACTACTGCTGAGGCAAAAACAACAGCTAGATATATCACTGGCTTACGGAAAACCAGCATTACTACTACCTATATGTACTACAACAACTATATGTACTAACGACACCATCAACATTATTCATTCTCTTTTCTTATGAAATATCATAAAATACGCAAATATTTAAACCAAGTAAAGTAAAAAGCCCGTGCCAAGAGCCGTGATTGCTCAGTGTCCGGGCGCTCGCCTTTAATTCAATATACTCGAGCAACCTGAGTTTGATCCCCAGCGAGTTACAGCCTATACATATCCCACTGCTGGGCATAGGCCTTCTCTATGCAAAGGATATTTTTGAATTTTCGTAAAAAGAGGACAAAGTTTTTGGTTCACGTATTAATTAATATAGATAACAATAATATTCATTACAATTTTCATTTCGCACCATTTCTACTCTTCAGTCACCTCGTATGGCGCGTTTAACAATGTGGGACTTGAGTTCCAGAAAGCAAACCCTTCAGCCAATAAGCGGCTCAAAAATCCTCGACGCGCGAACCGAGAACACGTTCCAATTATTATGGACAAACACTCGAATATATTCCCCTTCGCCTGTATTGGGACTTATATGATGTGTACTTATTTGACGACTACATGGTGCAGTTGTCAAAAGTATTGACTTCGGCGTCGGGGGTCATGGGTTCGATCCCCACACGGAAAAACTATCTGTGTGGCCCACAAATAGTTGTTTCGCATCTGGGTGTTTGCGCGCGTGAAATTTATGTTTGTAAAACGGTCATCCTAAAGTAAGGGCAACATTTAAAAAAAGTACACATAAGAATTGACACCATAATATGTCAGTGTATACTTATCTACATATTAATAAGTGAAGCAAAAATTTTGTACGCCTTTTACGAAAAATGCGCGAAGAGTATGAAATTTCCCACACTTATAGTTTACTAGCTGCTGCCCGCGACTACGTCTGCGTAGAATAGGCAGTAGGCGTAACATTCAGACAGAAAGACAGATATACATAAAATATGTATGTAGGCGTAGGATAAATAAAATCTTTATTTTGAGTATATTCTTACTATTTTCATCTTTATTTAAATTAGTACATTTTAAAACACAGATACACGTTACTCGTTCGTGGCGTCGTCGCGAAAAGTCCCTCAATCCCTTTTACGTCATCCATCCTTCTCATTCACACAATACTTCGTTCAAAAATCATCTTTTACTCAACTATTAAATAATTAATCCTACATGTATATAAATTATAGCCTATGTCTTATTCTGATGTATAAGCTATATTGTAGAGTTTCATTAAAATCTATTCAGTAGTATTTGCGCGAAAGAGTAACAAACATCAATCCATACATACACTTTATTTAAGGATTTAAGGATTAGGATTAGGAAGTAGGGATACGTTTGTATACGCGAAAAACATGGCAACACGTGTTGCAAAAGCACGTCTCGAGACTCTTTGTGTTTATAATTTTTAAATAAAGGGGATTTGGCTAACATGTATCTCGAAACATATGTCTCGAGACTCCGTATGTTTATTAATTTTAAATAAAGAGGATTTTGAACGCGCGGACGGAATATTAAGGACTGCGCCTAAGGGTCTAATTCGCTTTCATGACCTTTTCCCTAAAAAGATAACAACCCCCATTGTGTTGAATATTTATAGGCGAATTAATTTGGTCACCGCCCAAACTTTTATGAGGGGGGAGGGGGGTGAAGGGATTTTTACTGTGCTACGCTGGATCGTAAAGCTGTGGTGATCAACTGGTTTCGGGTTCTAATCTGATATCATTGCCATTGAGTATGTCTGTATGTAATATATCTGATTTTTCTACTTTCATCTTCCTCTTTCAAATTTCATCTTCAGTGCTGAGAAAGCACTATAAAGCACTTAAAAATATAAATCACTATGAAAAAGAATATCATTTAAATCTTAATCTTTGGTTTCTTATTAATGTCTACCTGAATATTGTTCATGTTTAATTAAAGCTATTAAACTAATTTCACTGGGTTTGATTTTAACTGTAAATTCCCGACTTTGCGGACAATTTACAGTGATCATGGTCACACTAACGATGAACGCTGTAAACACATTTCACCTTACCCTTTATTTTGCAGAAGCAACAACGAAACTTCATACAGAGGGTATTCACAGCAACAGAACGTGTAGCCTTTGTACCATACAAATAATTAACACCGAGCTTCACCGCGGCGGCTAATCCAATTTCACCGTGGAACGGATCCAAGGGGAACATTCACCTGCCATCTGCGGCGAAAATCAACATTGTTCCGCTTCTGGCTAAACGCAATTAACATTCAGTAAAGGTTCTTCACACTCGTATGCGATGATAAAGTGGATACATAAGCCACTTGCCGCTACGGCGGGGTTTAAAGTCCTTTCGTTACGGCATCTCGTAGCTTATGCTACAGTGCCTCGTAGCTCTTGCTGCAGGGAGTTGTAGCTCATGCTACAGAGCGTAGCAGTTCAAGCTACAGTGACACCTTGATCATTCTACAGTGACACGTAGCTTATGCTACAGTTTCTCGTAGCTCTTGCTACAGTCCTTAAAAGTAATTTGATTTTTGTTACCTGATGTTAAGTAATTACCGTCCCCAACGCACATCTACCACACCTGAGGGCTTGCCAGCTGCCATTGTTCACATTTTATTTGTCCCGTCACTCTTATACTTTTTACTATTGATTTTTGTACCTATTATTTTTTTTTTCTTTTGTTGTACCATGATTTAGTGCTATTAGATTTATTTTTAGTGCTACTCTCGGTACTAAATATGAAACTTTAAAATGTAATTTTTTGTGGATAAATGAACAAATTTTCGGCGCTGTGGAATTCGAACCTGCACCTTCTGGTTTTTCGACGACTTCGTTACGAATACCGCGTTGAAAAAAATTAGAACCGAAATTAAAAAGTGTTTTTAGTGAGCAGAGTTATATTTGCGCTACATTTTACTACACTAAAATGAGTGTAAATCTTACAGTCTAACATTTATGGCCGAGTGCGTGTCTTATATAGCGCCAAGAAATGGGTAGACAGACTTCTTTTATTTCACTCAACCACTTAGCTCTTAATGCAAAATGCTTTCCACTTAGTAGCGGAATACCAACAATTTGTTACCTGTAAGACATTGCTAGTCAGATATTCTCGTATTTTACATCTGATTTCAAGGCATCAATGTATCTATTTTTTTTCCTGTAATGCTAATAAATCACTAAATCCATGTTTGTAACGACATAGATTTAGTGACTTCTCGAATTTTCAAGGTACGTTCCGTAGCAATAAATGTTTTCACCCGACTTTTAAGGACAAGTTTTTGTGTATAGACATGTTTTTGCATCTTATTCTGTGCACGCTCTTCAACGTGAAACTTTTTAATGGCTTTCAACAAATGAGGCCTCAATTATGAGACGTGGCTATTGATGAAGCGACTACTGACAGCATTGCCCGGTACACAACACTCAGAGAAATTGAGAATTATTATAGTCTCTCTAGACTCTTATCAGATAGAACTTTTACTGAGATAGCACGCTTACCATCAAAGGCTGCATGGCCATTTACCATCAGGTGGCAGTCAAGTGCTAGCCAGTTCGAAAAAAAAAATAATAATTAAAAATAAATAAAATATTTTAGGACCCATTTTTACACAACATTCTCTAGTCCCAAACTAAGCGAAGCTCGTACTATTGTTGGCAACATTAAAAAAGTCGTTCCTTGTAGTTGTTGGCAACACTAAAAGAGGTGTCATTCTATGGGAGTATAAATGAAGCTGCACGAAGCATTTCATGGTCTTCGTCGTAGTCGTCGTCTTCTTTGGCTGTCAAACCAGAAGTATACACGATAGTGCTGCCCAATCCGTATCATAAATTAAATCGTTAGAGTGGTGTTTCATTAGTGATATTGAAGTGATAAAATAATTAATTATACCAGTGTTATTGTTGTGCAAAGTGAAACCACGGTGATTTGGTGAAAGTATTTATATTTCTACCTTCTTAGCTCGATAAAACAAAGTAAAGGTAACACTATGGGTACTAGAAAACTGATAAACATACTTAAACATACTTTTCTTTTGTAAATAAATATATATTATACATATATAAAAACCCAGACACTAGAAAAACACTATGTTCGTCACACAATATTTTTCCAGGAGTGGGGATCGAACCCACACCCTCTGGCGCAGAAGGCAATATATAGCGCATAGTCATTGTTAAAAATTCATAAAATCTATACAGATAAATAAAATTGAAGTGTCTGTTTATATAAAAATATGTTTGTATATTAAAATAACCGCTTTTTACTAAATGCATATGGATGTATACACGATAAGTATACCATCATTTTTTAAATTTTTTGTCTATCTGTCCGTCTGTTTGTTCCGGCTAATCTCAGAAACCGCTGGACTGGTTTTGATGGGACTTTCACTGGCAGACAGCTCATGTAATAACCAGTTAGAGTGGCTACTTTTATTTAAGAAATGTTGGTAAGCACAAGTCTGTTGTCATCATCCTGCATCCATTCAGTTGACAAGGTATCACTTGAAGATATCCCCCGATATCAAGCACAGGGGATTTACAACACGCTAACGGTTCAATGTTAGTACAAAGCAGCCGATTAACAAAATGACTGATGTACAGGTCCGTTACATTTGCAACAGGACTAAGTCCATCAAAAGAACATTTTTTTTAACATGGGGAAATCCATTATGGACACCTGGTTCTCCGGTAAGCGAAGAACCAAGTTATGTCGGACCCACGGCGACTAAAACCCCATGGTGGTCGCCATCTACTCTGATGAGAGGTCGCGAGATCTCCATTCGGAACACTACCGCGGCCCCTCCTTAATTTGCCTATGATAGCCCTTTCGGGGGCGGTATTACGCTAGCCCCAGCATCCCCGCGGTGGACATTACTTAAAGCCACTTAACTTACTTAAAGCCACCGACCTTTAGTGGGCTTTACTGGACAGTTAAGGGATTCACCCCAATCGCTCATGACCCTGAGGCCCCGTTTCTGCCAGGGGAGCATCATTTCCTTTTGGAGGGCCGTGACGAGCCGCATTGGTGCGTCGGTGATCAAAAGAACATCTTAGTTGCGAAAAAAAAGCAAACGTTTACAGAGCCGTGATAGCTCAGTGTCCGGGCGCTCGCCTTTAATTCAATATACTCGAGCAACCTGAGTTCGATCCCCGGTGCCGGCACCAATGAAGTTTTTAACTTTAAGTGCTGACTTTTCACGTGCTTCGCGGTGGAGGAAAACATCGTGAGGAAACCTACATATTTTCGAAATAATAACAAAAAAAAAATATATTTCGAAGATATGTGAAGTCCGCCAATCTGCAGTGGGGCCGCGTGGTGGACTATGCCCTGATACCCTCTGTATAGAGGAGGCCTTTGCCCAGCAGTGGGACATGTATAGGCTGTTACTTTACTTTTTTTTAAAGTCTTAAACGTTTAATGTTACTAAATAGTATTAATATAAATATTTAGTTCAGCAGAATAACTTTACACTTATTTAAATTTATTTTTATATTGTTAAATGTTATTGAAGATAAACCATTCTAAAAGCAAAATAATGTTGGTTATGACCGAGCACAAACACTGCCAGTCTCCGATGCGCTCAATGGATATGAAAAAGTCAGCCAATTTGTATACCTTGGGTCGCTAGTATCAAACGACGGCAGCTGCACTGATGAAATTCGTCGTAGAACCGATATGGCCAAAAGTGCTGACTAGACTCGAAAAGATATGGAAGAACCGTGGTATTCGACGTGCAACTAAGTTGCGCTTGGTACGAGCATTAGTCATCCCTATTTTTATCTACCTTGCCGAAACGTGGAGCATAAGAAGCCGTGATAGCAAAATCGATGCTTTCGAAATGTGCCTGCCAGGAGAACTAACGACTCAATACCAAAAGACCTAAACATCACGAAGCGGCTTTATTCAGTTTGCCGTGAACAGGCCCCCTGCTTTTTGGACGCATCGTGCGATCTTCTAGGCGCAGTCACGGAAAGCAGATAATCACTGGCCAGATCAAAGGCAGACGCGCTCAGGGCACCGACAGCATGGGCTGTCGTAGTGAAGAACGCGATTCACGTCGCCTAGGACCGCACGCAGTGGAGGCGCCATATGGTCACGATCCTCGGCATTGAGGGACCGAGCAAGAAGAAAAAGAAGAGGAAGATGATGTTTGTATTTCTAGAATACGTAAAATATTTATAAAATTGAATTAATTTTATTTGACATTAATACAATTTATTTACATTGTCAATTTATAGTATAGGCTAATTTTTGTTACATTTAATTATTATTATATAAATTTAAACTGATATTTTTTATGAAATGACTTGATCACAATTATTATTGTAAGATTGACTTTAATTTATATTTGCATGCTATTTGTAAGTGGCTATACAAGTGGCACTAAAAACTATTATAATTGTACCATCATAAATCATACCCTGTATGATAGTAAATAGATACATAAATAAATAAAATAAAAAAAACTTAATGTATTGTATCACTAAGGAATGACCACTTTATTTGATGGCACCGTGGCACAGTTGCCAAGGTATTGACTTTGGTGCCTGGGGTCGTGGGTCCGACACGAGACAACTATTTGTGTGACCCAGTGGGCCAGGCCAACAGACAATTGTTTCGTATCTGGGTGTATGTCCACCTGAAATTTACGTACGTAAAACGTCCCTAGACGAACAAGATAGTGTTATCCTCCCGATTTTTTCGAAGGGAAGTCTACAATAGTTCTTCTAGGTTGCAGTGGTCGTTGAGATGCTACCCAACCCCTTCCACACAAAATACAAATGGCTAAGAAATGTTTTTGAATTTTTATTTTTATTTTTTCTCTTCTGCGAATTCAATAAAAATGCCGAAGGGTACCATTATCTATAAAACGGCGAAAAATCATGTCTGCTGTATGGCTTAAATATTTTTTTATAATTTTTTGGTATTTGTTGTTATAGCGTCAACAGAAATACATCATTTGCGAAAATTTTTAACTGTCTATCTATCACGGTTCATGAGATAGAGCCTGGTGATAGACGGACAGATAGGCAGCGGAGTCTTAGTAATAGGGTCCGGTTTTACCATATGGGTACGGAACTGTAATTACTTATTAAAATTAGGCATAACTACTATATATTTTAGTAAATGTAATGGGCTTTCTCTCTAAATTTTTTAAGAGTCCCTCAGTAGTATCAGTCCGGAAATACCACTGATGAGGAATTAATACCACAGAGTATCGGTGGTACCTTCAGGAATAAGTAATCTTGGATCGAACATTGTCTGCCATTAATGTTGCATAAATGCTACCACCTTAGTATTAGGCGTAGATCTTCTTAAATCACTACATAGTATAAAACAAAGTCGTTCCGCTGTCTGTCTGTCCGTATGTATGCTTAGATCTTTAAAACTACGCAACGGATCTTGATGCGGTTTTTTAACTAGATAAAGGGATTCAAGAGGAAGGTTTATATGTATAATACAATGCACCCGTGTGAAGCCGAGGAGGGTCGCTAGTATATTACAAAATAATAAAATTAATTACTCTATAATATTTTACCGTTTACATTCCAACGCATCTCAGCCAATGTCGACAAATAACCTCGATAATTGCATTAACAGGTTACCAGACCATAAACAAAAGTATTCGTTGACATCCACGCTCTATCCTTACTAATATTATAAAGGTGAAAGTTTGTATGGATAGATGTTTGTTACTCTTTCACGCAAATACTACTGAATGGATTTTAATGAAATTTTACAATAATTTAGCTTATACATCAGAATAATACAAAGGCTATAACTTATATATTTATGTATCTGTCTTTCTGTCTGAATGTTACGCGCTCAGCCTATTCTGAGCAGACGTAGTCGCGGGCAGCAGCTAGTAGTGTTAATAGTTTATAGTTCTAAAACGTGACGTATGACGAGCTTGTCACGTTACAACAGGCGCAAGGGAGACAGTGATCATTCGAATCACTTTTCCAACGAATCATCACACTTTTTATTTCAGTACTCTTTAAATGTCTAGTTCTAACAAAAGTCCTTATGTTTTGTTTCATTTTAATTTTCAGCTCCAAAGGTTACAAATCTATACAGATTAACAAAATTGGAGAGTCTGTTTGTAATATTAAAATAACCGCTTTTTACTAAATGCATATGGATGTATACACGGTACATATACCAAAATATTTTTTTTTTACAATTTTTGTCTGTCTGTCTGTCTGTTTGTTCCGGCTAATCTCTGAAACGGCAGAACCGATTTGGACGGGACTTTCACTGGCAGATAGCTGATGTAATAAGGAGTAACTTTGGCTACATTTATTTAAGATTTTTTTTTATTTAAAATTCCACGCGGACTTGGGCGCTGGCACAGCTAGTATGTAATAAATGGCAACTTATGATTTAAAAAACTTTTTTTTAATCTGAGAAGAGCTGACGGGTCACCTGATATTAAGATACATACCGCCCATGGACATTTGCTACATCGGTAGGGTTGCAGAAAGGTTTACCATCTTACAATAAAGTGGGCCCCGGCTACCCCACTCACCAGATGAAACGCAGACGGATAGCACTTCCACCCTACGCTGGTCTTCTGTGAGGTCGTCGTACTTACCCGGACCTGCCCATTCGTGCAACAGCGAACAACTACCACAACCGTTAACTGATCTATTTATTTATTTATTTCGAGGACAATAGAGAAAACTTGTGATTCGGAGACTCAATTATTATAATTAATTTTAATACTTTAATACGTCGCACTATGTTTAAAAAAAATATGTGTGAAAATTTTATAATTAAGTTTATAATTAATTAAATAAAATAAATTTTATAATTAATTAAATCAAGTAAAACATTTTTATAAACGATAAAAAAAATTATTTAGAGTAGTTCTTGATATAAAAATGCGTGAGAATTCACCATCCCCCTTCTCATCTCCGTTATTAAAAAGTCTAACACAGAGGTGATACCTCTCATTTAATGATAATTAAACAAATGGATTATAGATAAAGTGTATAAATGTATGAACAATTACATTTTTATTAACAAAAAACTCACAACATTTTCTATTTGCGTTAAAAAGCGTTGCCCATTGTGTCTCTGGGGACTAAAGTTCCATACCAATGAAGCTATCAGACCACGTGAGAGCGAAATCGAACCCAATGCAAGTGATTTTTTTATGGAGAACAGTGGCAAACGGGCAGGAGGCTCATCTGGTGGTAAGTGGTCACCGCCGCCCATGGACACCTGCAACACCAGAGGGCTCACAAATGCGTTGCCTGCCTTGTAGGAAAGAGTATACTCTCTTCTTGAAGGTTCCCAGGTCGTAACGGTTTGGAAAGACCGCCGGATCATAAATGACGTAGTTAAGAGGTAACAAATATAAAAAATGCAAGGAATTGAAAACCTCTTTTTTTGATGTCGGTTAAAAAGCTACTTTCGATTATTAATGTCATTAAATTTTTATATACAAAATTACATTAATACTACAATATTTTACAACATTTTTTTTCATATGAAAAAGTGGCAAACGAGCTGACGGTTCCCCGATGTCAAGTGATAACTGCCACACACGGACATTTGCAACACCCATAGGGTTGCAAATGCGTTACCATTTTTTAATGAAGTGAACAATCCCCTGTTATTGTATCTCCGTCAGCTACTCACAGTTTTCTTAGAACCTTCAATGAATTATATACGTAGAGGCGCATGCAACGCCTGAGGCATCTTACCCATCCGACTTATGCCAAGGATAATTACGGCTCAGTTACCAAAATTGCCAAACAAAAGATTTCCGTAATGCATGTTACGCGCCCGATATCCGAGAATAATAAATTTAGGGTCAAGATGTTCGGAAATGGTTTTCGTTTTGCACTTTCCTCTTCTCCGGAGAGAGTCATTTTAATAAGACAGTTTTCAACAATAGTATTTCCGAACTGAACACTTAAATAAATATATAAATATTTCGGGACATTATTTTACAAGACATTATCTAGTCCCAAAATAAGCAAAGTACTTGTACTATAGATACAAGACAACTGATAAACACACTTAAACGTACTTTTTTTGTAAATAAATACATATTATAGATATATAAACACCCGGACAATAGTAAAACGCTATGTTCAACACAGAACATTTTTCCAGTAGTGGGGATCGAACCCACACTGTGTGGCGCAATAGACAGAGTCACTATCAACTACGCCAATTAAGTCGTCATGTTATTATTTGGCTGTGGTAAGGCCACGCATCAGTTTCGCCTCACACGTACAGACAGACGCGCTACCGTTTTTTGAGCCCCGGTCAAATTGTGTGATATGCACCGCTTTCTCACACCCAAATGTTTGTGTAGGATAGATTGTATGTTACTCATGCCTATCAAGTCCCAACGGCCACTGCCAGAAAGGTCTATTTTGGTCTTCCTTTCGGAATATATAACAATTGTTATAACAAACTTTGTGCATCTGTTTGCATGCCTAAAATAAAATGAAACATGTCGATCTCTCCTGTAACCACGAACGCGGTAGTTTTAGAAACGTTTGGAATTTCGATTAAATGCGTCGTATTGTCATACGTAGTACCTATTTGGGTAAATTATGGAAATCGTTACATAACTACTTAAAAATTTCTCTGGTAGGGCCACGCAACAGTCTTCACTGTTGCACGAGTGGGCAGTTCCGTCCGGGATAATACCACGACCTCACAGAAGACCGGCGTTGAGTGGAAGTGTTACACTTCTGCGTTTCTTCTGGTAAGTTAGGTGATAGGAAACTTATAAAAAAGATAAAATAGGTGAACCGCTAGCTCCTTTGTCACCTTCTCTCATAAAATTTATCGTTGATACATTGAAACTGTGGTAGGGCCTCGCGACAGTTGTTCGCTCGTGCACGTATGGGCAAGTCCGTCCGGGGAAGTACCACAACCTCACAGAAGACCGGCGTAAAGTGGAAGTGTTATACTTCCGCGTTTCGTCTGTCGAGTGAGGTAGCCGGGGACCATTTTATTAAAAGGTGGCAACACATCTGCAACCCTACGGGTGTTGCAAAAGACAATGGGCGGTTGTTATCACTTAATACCAGGTAACCGACAGCTCGCCTACCACCTTCTCACATCAAAAATATTCTAACAATGGGTAGCCTAAGTCTAGAATAATAAACTATCATGAAGTTTTTAATCATTGTGCCTTTGATTAAGTGCATGTTTTCGCCAGCTTCGTAACAACAGTGCGCGGTATGGTATTGAATAAAATTATGTGTTTTCCCTGAAGAACTCTTTTATTTATCTAGCCATATTTCCAGATGCAGATAAAAATAGTATTAAGTACATTTTTAAATAATTTAAATTAATCTTACTGAACTAACTGTCAAACAACTAAGAAATTCATGTCGTACTACTCACGAATGTAATATTAATAGCCTATATGTCACAGCTTTCACACATAATAGAATCTGAAGTATGTAGGGTTTGCTTATTATTTAATAAACGTTAACGACCTATTTAATAATCACTCAAAATCATCCTGATTAAACTTTTTTATTTAGATTTCGACCTAAACATATTAGGATTCGTGTCTTTAAAAGGGATGTTTTAATGTAATTTTTTTCCAGCAATATAGGGATAATGTAGCACGTGACAAAAAATATTCAATTTCTTCTTCATTTCTCATTCAATTTAACTTTCATTATTCAATATAAAAGTATTACTTATCAAAGTACTAATATCGATTTGGAAAAAAAGCCATTGACCTGATAACAACCGGTGAAATAACTATATTTTGATAAAGAAACACGTTTACGATATAAAAGTCCACCTGAATCTGTTATCATGACAGCATTTAGCACAGAAACGTTCGCATAATACGGTTTCGAGAAATTTCAAAGAATACTTTCAAAATTGCAAAAACGAGCGAATTTCGAAAATGATGAGAAGGAATGTACCGTTTACTGACCTTCTTATTAAGCTTCATGGGTTGCCCGATGACGTAGGGAACTCCTAGAGTGCCGTAGCTGGGAGGCATCATGATTGGAGCTAGCACTAGAGGCACGGTCTTGCTGGTGCAATGGCAGGAGTCCTCCCGCACTTCGGGTGGCGAGCACTGGCGCTGGCAGCAGCAATGATGGTTTCCAGTGGTCTGGTTTCCAGCAGTCTCGGACCCTCGCTCGCTCGCTTCAGCCGGAACCGACGCCTCCATGCACTGGTCTTTTTCGGAGTTGCTGATGTCCTGGAGCTTTTGCCTCTTCGGTTGCTCCGGAGTCTTCAGGAGCGCCGGTCTTCTCTTTAGGTCCGTAGGCGTTTCTAACAGGTACGGTTTCTTCGTTTCTCTGTCCTTAGAGAACGGTTGCACAAGTAGCGTCTTCCGCTTGCCGGCGTTCGCGCTTTTCGAAGGCCTCGCGGCCTCCGGCTGCCTTTTCGGATCCAATTTGAACGCTTTCTAGCAATTGGTGTTACGAAACTCCACCTGCGGGTTGGAAATTCACAGTTTTCACATCACCCCCGCATCGATCACAAATCAATCTTTTCACAGGTCTCACATCACCCACGCGATTCACGAATCAGCAATCAATCCGGTTACGATAAAACTTTTTGACATCAATTGTATTTTTAAAATTCTATCATTGGGCACCACAACATAATCTATTGCATTTCACACTTGTTTTATAACAGGGAGGATGTTAACGCAATACTTTTAGAACCACCATTGCTACGAAGTTTGCTGTAAACCGAAACGACGTCAGACACTGTCAGCCACCGACCTTGAACCCGTCACGTGGTTTTGTTTGTCAACAGTTCCATTGCAAACAAACATCGCGACAAACAAACTTTTGGGCCGACGCGCACTCCGGTAAACATTCACCTAACGCTCCGCGGTGGTAAATCCATCGATTGCTTCAGTTCCGGGTGGTGATTTTTGGAGAATTTCAGAGATTTACTGCTGAAATTTCGGCAAGCACGCGCGACGCGTCCTCACTCTGCCGCGCGCTCCCGAAACTGAGTTGAGCGGGAGCTTGGAGGCGTGAACGGGGCGGGCTGGACACACCCCCGTCCCAGTTTTAATAATTCCGACGTCTAGACTGGATAATGTTAAGGCCACTTCCTCGTTAGAAGCGTACATGCGCTCCTCAAGTGGAGCTACGGAGAAACCGTCGGGTTTTTTCAATGCATCTGCGGAAATGAGCGGAAACTACTTAGATACTAGCCGCTGCCCGCGACTACGTCTGCGTAGAATCGGCTGAAGGCGTAACATTCAGACAGACAGACAGATATATACAAAAATATGTGTATAAATTATAGCCTATGTCTTATTCTGATGTATAAGCTATTTTATTGTAAAGTTTCATTGAAATCCATTCAGTAGTATATGCGTGAAAGAGTAACAAACATCCATCGATACATATAAATTTTCGCGTTTATAACATTAGTGAGGAAGTAAGGATACTTGGCAAAGAACGACCAAGTTTAACCAGATAGACATTTATTCGTCTTAGTAAGCTCAACCAAACGGTAAACTTTCCGTTTAGAAGTGATTAGTTTTCGTAGATACGAGTAAGATGAGACTATTTTTGAATGATTCATTAGTAAAATTTAAGAAAATAAGTACTCGGATAAGTGTTAATATTTGTGAGAAGTAGACAAGCGCCACCCATGGACATTCGCAATACCCGTAGAGTTGCAGACAAGTTGCCACCTTTTAATAAATTGGACTCGGGTTACCTTACTCACCAGACGAAACACAGAAGTATAACACTTTCACTTCACGCCCGTCTTCTGCGTGGTACTTCTACTTCTACCCCGGAAGGCAGATCCATTTGTGCAACAGCGAAGACTGTTTCGTGACTGACTGAGAGGATTGAAAACAAAAACCGGCCAAGTGCGAGTCAGACTCGCATACGAAGGGTTCCGTACCATAATAATCAATAAATATATATAAGAGATTTCCAACGATAATTGACTCATCATGATATCTCTGGAACCATAAGGTGTAGAGACTTGAAATATTCCTTTCGCCGAGTAGAGGTCAGCTAAGGATGGATTTTAAGAAATTCCACCATACAACTTTTGCCGGATCAGCTAGTTTATAATAAAATAATTGGTAAATACATATTCGTATGGGAGCAAATAATTTTACTTTATTTTGTTTTTTTAGTATTAGTTGTGACAGTTGCAACAGAAATACATCATATTCAAAATTTCAACTGTCTAACTATCACGGTTATGAGATACAGCCTGGTGACAGACGGACAGACAGACAGCCAGACAGAAGTCTTAGTAATAAGTCCCGTTTTACCCTTTGGGTATGATACCCTAAAAACAAGATCTTGTCTTTATATCAAGAAGAAAGCCGAAATACCTTGAGAGGAAGGAATCTCTTCTGAATTCTAACTCCCAAGGTTTCAAACACTTTACAGCATGAGTGTTCATGGAACAGACTGAGTGTTTCACATCTCGATGATACCGTTAACCTGATCTGATGATACCGTTAACCTGATCTGATGATGATGAACAAAAAAAATCCGTCCGGGACAGTACCAGTTCTCAGCAGACTGGCATCAAGGCAAAGTATCATATTTTCGCCTTCGCTTCGCGTGTGAGGTATACAGGGCTCACTTCTGCTGTTGTGACGGTAATCACTTAATGAAAGAATGAATTAATTGATATATTTTATTGCACATCAAAATTAAATAAACAAAAAATCAAAAACAGCAGTCAGCATTTAGGTTCAACGAAATAATGAAATAGTTGAACTCGGGTAGAATCGGTATTCGTTAATATTTCCTCTTGAAAATATTTAGTTTTATATTGTAACATTTGTCATTAATATAATTTAAAATTGTATATATTTATAATCGGTAATTGGCATATATGAAATACTTCGTTCAATTTATCTATATGATTTGCTGTTGCCATACCTAATAAAGAAAGGAGTGAAGAGAAATGATGGACTCTTGTAAAATGATGAGAAAAAGTCTGCATAAATCGTTCCTAGACTTATATTTAGAGTCCATTATATGAGGACATGATGTTGGCACGCGAAAATCATTGACCTTGTCGTTTAGTGTTAGACCAGCCTACAGCCCCCTTTGGAAATAAAATAAGCTTAATAAAACGGCGGTTCGGACTCCGCTAGATGGAATTACGATCTATGCATGTGTGTGTGATTTTTTCTTAGTGTGCGGTTCACCTGATGTTAAGCAATCACCGCCTGCCCATGGCCATTTGCAACTCCGTAGGTTTGCAGATGCGTTGCAACCTCTTAAGAAATGCAACACTTCTACTTCACGCCCGTCTTCTGCGAGGTCGCGGTACTTACCCGGACTGACCTGCCCATTCGTGCAACAGCGAACACTGTTGCGTGGACCTACCACCGAATGATGTTTGGGAGGTCGATGGATTCGGGTGGCCCAGGACCGTGCTTCTTATCAGTCCTAGGGAAGGTCTGTTTAGCAGTGCGCTATACATGCTGAAATAATAATAATAATCGTTATTATTTTGGAACATACACAACGTTAACTAGTCCCATACTATGCAAAGCTTGGATACTATGGATACTATTTAACTGACATCCATACTTAAAAATACTTTTTCTTTCTCATAAATAAATGCATATTATATATAAATCACGGCTCTGCCGTGTGCCGAGTGTCCGGGCGCTCGCCTTTAATTTAATATACTCGAGCAACCTGAGTTCGATTCCCAGTGCCGGCACCAATGAAGTTTTTAACTTTAAGTGCTGACTTATCACGTGCTCCGCGGTGAAGGAAAACATCGTGAGGAAACCTGCATAGTTTCGAAATAATAACAAAAAAAATATATTTCGAAGATATGTGAAGTCCGTCAATCCGCAGTGGGGCCGCGTGGTGGACTATGCCCTGATACCCTCTGTATAGAGAAGGCCCAGCAGTGGGACATGTATAGGCTGTTACTTTACTTAACTTTATAGATATATAAACACCCAGACAAGAAAAAAACACTGTGCTCATCACACAATATTTTCCAGTAGTGGGGATCTCACACCCTCTGGCGCAACAGACAGGTTCACTATCCACTACGCAATTTGAACATAGGCAAGTAATAAAGTTATTAAATCTTTAGTCAGACATTATAAACGAAATAATAAAACACTCAGTGCGAGACGGGGCGCGACCGCGAACTCATCACACTTATATATAAATATATATATATTTTTTTTTAATAAAAACATTGCCCTTACTTTAGGATAACATTATCCTGTGTTGTAGGGACGTTTTACAAACATAAATTTCACGCGGACAAACGGCCAGATGGGAAACAACTACCTGTGGGTCACACAAATAGTTGTCCCGTGTGGGAATCGAACCCACGACCCCCGACGCCAAAGCCAATACCTTGGCAACTGTGCCACGGAGTCATCACGGAGTATATATATATATATATATATATATATATATATATATATATATATATATATATATATATATATATATATATAAAAACTTGAAAACAGGGATAAAAGGTCATTTTCTAAAAATGGAACCAAGCTAGTGAATCTACGCAAGTACTAAATTTCATGAAAATCGCTGGAGCCGTTTCCGAGATTCGGATTATATATATATATATATATATATATATATATATATATATATATAATCCGAATCATATTATATATATATATATATATATAATCCGAATTATATATATATATATATATAATTCGGATTATATATATATTTATATATATATATATATATATATATATAATCCGAATCTCCACCTGTTTTCAAGGAATGAAAAATATAATTCTAATAAGACGGTAAATTTCGCCGCAAAAAAAAATGTTATAATAACTCGGTCGGTAATCGTGCAGCCCTAAAACAAACGGCCGCGGTTCGTATCACGATCATTTACACATTTATTTTACTTTTTTTTTCTATACCAGATCATTTTCTTTATTTTTTTTTATTTCCTAATTACATGATTTACCAGAAAAAAACCGAGCAAAGCTCGGTCCTCCAGGTACTTTAATATTATAAATGCGAGAGTAACACTGTCTGACTGTCTGTCTCGCTCGCTTGCACGCCAAAACTACTGAACCGATTTAAATGAAATTTGTTACACAGATAGTCTAGAGCCTGAGAAAGCAGATAGGCATTTTTAATTGGATAAAAGTGTTGTAAAGGGTTGAGAATATCTTTCTTTAAAAAATATAGATAGCTTTTAAAGGACTTCAACGCGAGCGAAGCCGCGGGCGGAATGCTAGTATTATATACAAATACGAGGTAGACATGACACAATCGACAAAACTGAGGCACTCAAATTACGGCAATTGTTGTAATTGATTGGTCTGCTATCTCTTTCCGTATCATATGTTCTATATCATCTGTCACATTCACTTACAAATGTCATATTTTTAAAAGCCGCGCAGTATGGGCGTGCGTCATCTTTATTGAAACATTTTCCACTCACCATGACGAAGACACGCCGGTAGATCTAAAACTAGTCTAACTCAGTACATACACCTATTGAACGTGAGTCATACAGGTAAGTAAAAAAGAAACTACAATTCCAAGTCCGAACCGTAGTTAAGTAGTGTCAAAACACCAAAGCTTTTATTGTCACGGAGATTTAAAAATCATGTATTTTTCTAAATGAATTACCGTATATTATATAAAACTACTATGTAGACATGACACTAGCGTCCCGCAACTGAGGAGCTTAAATTACGCCAATAGGAGTAATTCGATAGCGATTCTAGACTGCTATCTCTTTTTAAATCATTCTGTCACATTCACTTACATGTCATATAATGTAAAGCAGAGCAATATTTAAACGCCTCACAATATAGGCATGCGTCATCTTTGGTAATGAAGATTTAAAAATCGCGTATTTTTAAGAATCGCAAGTACTGTTACGCTTATTCGATTGACATTTAGATTGACAACTCCTTGTTTTGACAGTCTTGGTGGACTTAATGATTGTTGTTTTAAATTTTTTTTTTTTTTTTAAGTAAAAAGTTCTTATTCCGCAACACAAAAAGATTATCGAAATTAGCCATATATGAGAAGAATGGAGTGCGCTACAAGCAACAATAATTTAACCTTTATACTGTTACACGGTAAAACTCTTATGAGTTTATGT